AGTCTCACAGAGCTGCTAGCAAGAGCATGAGTAACTGCACATTCAAACTTAACTGTGGCTGAAAGCCTATTGGTAACCTGTATGTATACAAACTTTCACATTTATACCAAATTGTTTAAATCTATAAAAAGCTAGCTTTATAAAAAAAGACCAAAATCCCATTCTGGAGGGGTTATACAATGTCACAGCCGTGTGTTACCGTCTCACTTTCTGCCTATAAAAAGTTACTGAGAAGGGTTAATAGGACTCTTACACAATAGGTGTGAGCTTTTTATTTGTTCATATAAACACAGTGAGCATATCGCTGGAAGAATCTCACTGTGTTGACTCATGGGGTCAAAGAGCGCACATTACCGCTGTGTGATGTGTCACATGCTCACTAGTCTGACACTGTAGAGATTAATACCGTAATAAGTGTCATTACATCTGGCACATGTCATGTCTTATAATGGATTTGTACCAGAAATTTACATTTTAGGATTTTATTTGGTGTTTAAAGATTTAACCAGACAAATAGACCGTTCCACAACAGTTGGCAACTTGTTGTTAACTTGTTGTTGTTAACTGTTTTTCACACAAAGAAATAGTATAGATGGATGTATAGCAGAGGTAAGGATGTTGGCTTTGTGTGCTGTGATGAGGTGATTATTTTCTCGTGTGAACAGCTGAACTGCACAGATCACATTCTTTGCTGAAGGTTGAACAGAGAAGGAGACAGAGAGTTATTTGTGTCACTGCACGTGTGTGTGTGTGATAAATGACACGATGATGACAGATTGACAGAAATGGTGGGAAAGTGAGAGTATTAAGAGCCGAACACACCCAAATGAGTCTGGGCCTGGAGGAATTATGCTTACTTTCTGCACCAGGAAGTTCAGAACATATCAATTCAGAAAGGCATGTAATGTAACCTGTATGTGTTTATGTGTGTTTGTGTGTTATTCAGGGTGCATTCTGGGGCCTGATGGTGGGTTTGGTGGTGGGTGTGTGTCGGATGGTGCTGGAGTTTGCCTTCCCGCCTCCCAGATGTGGCGTTGTGGACTCGGCCCCTGCAGTGCTGCGCAGTGTCCACTACCTCCATTTCGCCATACTACTCTGTGGCCTCACTAGTATCGTGGTTACTGTGGTATCACTGCTCACACCGCCGCCCACCCACGAACAGGTGTGTACACATAGAAACAGTGACTATAATTGGAGTAAGCTTATGTAACTGTTTTGCTGTTGATACACCTGTAATGTTATCTACTGAAAACAAAAAGAAACAGATGAATCTGAGGTAAAGGAACCGGCGTTATCTGACGATTGGCCTCCATGTGACAAGACATTCAAAGAGCCCAAGTCTACCTAAATCCAAAAGATCAACAATCAACAATAGAGCAAAATCGTACAGCAGAACTATTGTTGCACACAATAGAAAAAACATACTAAATGCTTCATATTTTAAGTCGCTTTTAAGCCGGTGATCCATTTGTCACATGTGACACTATTGTGGCCTGTGTGTGAACTCAAAAGGCAAACAGCAGCCTTTCTGATAAAGTATGACTGTTATAACACATTTTAAGAGAGTTAGTCAAAACTAGAAAACAAGGTAGATTTGTTTAATCTCCCCTGAATGCTGTACAAATATATCCTGGCATATCCTGTCACCACATTTATCCATAACCTGCTCTGTATACACAAACAACTAATCCCAGTGTCAGTTCTCTATATCCATTAAAATGCTAGGTACTCAGTGTGGGTGGGGCTTAAATCGGAAGTGGGTGGAAATGATCAGAAGTTGGTAATTTAATGCTGATGATACTTGTAAAAAGTACATTATTTGTACAGATACTCGTTGCAGCCGAGATCTCGCTAAACCGTAATTAAAAAAAAGAATCTATGCTACATGTGAGGGCTCTATGTTATATAAGATTAATAATTAGAAAGAATAAAATAAAACTGAATAATATTACAAAGGGTTACGCTTCAGATTGGCCTGACTGTCTTTCAAAAAAGAGTATAAAAGTAGTATAGTAACTTGTGAAACCACTACTCTCCAACCTGGAAATTAATAAATACTGTGTATCAGAAATGTAAATACGCTTGTTTTCTTTTTTGCAGAGAATTAGAGGAAAGTTTGATGCCACTCTCATGTTTGTCTGTTAAATATAAAGCAGCTTGTTACGGCTGGCTTGGCTCTATCCAGGAATCCACCTACCAGGGCCTTTAAAGCTCAATAATTAACCTGTTATATCTTGTTTATACATTATATCTAGCTTTAGAGGTGGTTTGTGGATTTTGTTATCTATGAAAACAGCCAGGCTAACTGTTTCCCCCTTGTTTTCTAGTTTTTGTGCTAAGCTAGGCTAACAGGCTGATAGCTCTGGTTTCATATTTACTGTACAGACATGATGAGAGTGGTGTCAAACTTCTCATCTAACTCTCTGTAAGAAAATGCAAAATTTCCCAAAACGCTGAACTCTTCCTTTATGTTAGGATATTTTCAATATAGACACGTTTCCATTTCACTTCCAGGTGTGTAACTTGACCTACTGGACTCTGACTGAAGAGCCTCAAAGAGAAATTCCTCTACAGAAAGTGTCCACTGTCAGCCATCGTAGCTCCCAGGGTAAGAGTGAATATTCATGCCACTTGGAATAAAACCAGCCATCATGTGCTAAACAGTCATCCACACACACATATGCTATTGTATTGTCACTTCCTGTGTCTGCTCTGTGTGTGTGTGTGTTGATGTTGCAGGCTCTGAGCCAACGCGGCGGGGGACATGTGGTCACGGGGCAGGATTGTGCATCTCAGCAGCGCGGCGATCAGAAGAGCCTCCAACTCCCAGAGTTCTCAGCGTTAGAGAGAGCGTGTTCTGGTCCAGGTTCTGCTGCGCCAATGCGATCCTGCTGGTCAGCATTAACATTTTTCTGTATGCATACTTTGCCTGAGTAGAGGATCAGATTTAACATCCTGCCTCGCCCTCCTGCTGAACTCCTGCCAGTCTCTCAAACATGAACTTGAAACTCTTCCGGCCTGCCAAACAGCCACTCATTTCTCCAGCTCCAACATGGTGGGGAAACATACTGTTGTTGTTGTACTGATTGTTACAAGAATCCTTTCAAATCAAGGGACTGTATTGTATTTTATAGCTTCAGGTGAAATCACATTTCAAACTCGACAATAATGAGAGAGACATACCTCCACCAAGGCTGCACAAACCTCTAAATATATTATTTTGTTAAAAGACAATCTTGAGAATTGTTTTAATCTGCATCTGCTTCCACATAATTGTGTAAAATTACACATAATGATAGATAATCATTGGATACACATGGAAGAGTTTTGAAGAGTGCAAAAGGTCACAACAAAAAGGATAAATGTTTAAAAAATCCTCCATTTTGAAGTCCTGAGCAGCTCTGGCTGTGCTCAGTGTTCCCTTATAAAACCACTTTAACAGACAGTATTCCCGCACATGTGCTTTTCATGTTGTGATTTTTACCACCACCCCACTATAGTATATTGGTTTCTTCATAAAACCTTTCCATCCTGTCTGTTGTTAACCTAGTTTTAAAGTTTCAGAAGGGTTATTGTTCAAAAAGCAATGAAGCTTGTGGCTTGTAACAAGCTAACATGAGTGTGCAGTTAGTGTTAGATAAACAATGACATCTGAATAAAAGAGCATCACACTTCATCTTATATCAAAGCTTACAAAATATATAGTAAGATTATATAGTGAGAATACATTTATGTGGTCTAAGTTGTGTGTCTTGCATAATTGTATTTCATTTTTGTCTATATGCTTAATGGTAATTATATAGTTATGTTTGTGGCTTTATGTCTGTAAAGCAAAGTTTTATGAACCTTCAGTTATTGTTTGCGTGTTCTCTTAGCTTGTTTATGAATAAACATCAGAATATCTCAACCTTTCTTTTCTGCTCCATATGCAAATTATATAGAACCAATGAGAAGTTTTACAATTATTATTACTAAATATATCAGACAAATTACAATTTATCAGTATTGCAAATTGCCTATGAGTCATTTCTGCTTAACAACAGACTCCCACAAGGGGCATCAACCCCAAGGTTGAGAAACTCTGTGTCTATGTCTATATAACTCTAAAATGTCCATGTTGCTGTCTATTCAATTCATTTTTTTATTGGTGAAATTCATTAAGTATTGAGAATTACAGGTTGTTGGATGTAAAGAACCTCATGTCAGTCAAAAAAAGACAAAATATCATTAAATGTTTTTCTCTTGTGATTTCTTCAAATAAATGTATAGATATGTGCATCAAAGCTACAAGTGTTTGTCCACAAATGAACGCAGAACGAGTATTTATAACCAGATAATATCACTTCTTATTTGGCTTCTGTACAGTTTAATTACATTAGAGGGTTAGAGGAACAGACCAGATGGTAAAACAAAACCAACATAAAGTTAAATTTCACTTTTAATTATTATTTTCAATACAAGTTGGTGAAAGGAGGACATTAGGACATTAGAAGATGGGTTGTAAAGGTTCACTTAAGGGTTGCAGCAATTATTTTAATTACAAACTGTTAATTTTTGAGTTACTAATTAGTCTGAAATGGAGGAACGTAAGGTGACGCCCAAAAGTCCAAAACCCAGGTATTAATAATCATATAAGAAGTAAAAAAAAAACCTCAAGTTCTGGCATATTTACTTGATGCTTCAAATGATTAAAGCCACTGAAACGTGGTTTCAGTATTGCACCAATGTAGTATTGCACTTCGATAACGCTGTCAGACTCACTATGGAGAGTTTAAAAAAAGGATAAAAATCAGTGCAGCAGAATCCGAGATATCATCTTTTTATATTCGCATTGTATCACGCATTCCACTTCCTTATCGAAACATAACGTCTGCACTACCCACAATGCAACTCACCCCACCAACAGTCTGGTTGAAGATTTGGGTGTGTTATGCTGACGTTGCTGTGTGCCACTAGCCTCAAGTAGAGATGAGAAGCGGGCTACTGAGTTCCGGTAATCTCACTTCTTTCTAACTCCGCTCCAGATTTTTTATTTTTCAAACTTTTTGTCGACAGACGCTGACTCAAGTGACACCACTTGAGGCAATTTATCTAATTTAATGCAGCTTCCTCGGAAGCCAAAAAAGGTTTTATAAAACAATTTTCACATATGCAATAGTACTCCTCAATACCTATAATTAGACTTTGATGTTAAAATAGTTACATTAATTGCTTGTGATTAAATAAGCAATAATCGATGTTACAAAAACCTCTTTAGGTATAATTTACAGTTTAAACACTCAGAAAACAATTCAGGACTGTGTAAGTGGGGTTTGATCATCAGAGTCAGATTAAAATATGATTATATCCTGATTGGAAGTCAATCCATGGACACTTCAGGAGCACAGAGAAAAATAGAAACACAATAATCATTCATCATCAAATCATCACGTGAAATAACCAAAACTGTACCAACTTTAGCAGATAATACTATCACACCCCAAAGATTATTGAGAAAATACGTTTTGAGGCCTGTAAAATAAAAACAAATAGCTATCAATGAATTTTCGGGTCGATGGACTAATTGATGGACTAATAATAAATGAGGTAAGTCACTACAGCCTGAGAGTCAGTGATACAGCCATGATACTGATGGTGTTCCCTTTGATATGGTGTCAGTGGTACAGCGGCTGGACGTACTCTGGCGGAAAGATTCCCACACGGCCTCGACAGCGTCCCCTCCAGGTCAGCGAGCTCGAGCAGTCCAGCAGGTCGATGACGTCACCGCGCAGGAAGTGGAGGTGGGCGTTCTGAGGGGGGGTGTAGTCACAGAGGGCGTGAGCCAGACGAGGTTTCTACACAAAGACAGAGCAGATGACAGTCAGACAACCAGGGGTGCATTTAAGAAAAGATGAGTAATGGTGCTTCAAGATTCGTCATACCCCCACGACTGGTTCACGCAGACATGGGGAGGACTCCTTTTCAGGGTGAGAGTGGTGAGAGTAGAGGCGGGCTGAGGGGAGAGACTCCTGAGAGCTGCTTTTATAAGGGTTGGGATAAGGGTTGTGTCCAGGCTGGGACAGCAGGCGAGGGGAGGAGGGAGGGTCTCTGAGGCAGACCACTTTCTCCACGGCGATACTGTGAGTTCTGTAGAAATCCACCAACCGGTTGAGGGAACAAAACGACTCGTCCCAGATGCAGTACTGACCGCCCCCCTCCAGCACCCGAAAGTGTTCCACCCTGTCGCCGTAGCTACAAGAATAAGAGTGAGAAGTGAGAAAAGGTGAAGGGGATAAAGGCAGGTATGCATGCTCCTTTATACTCCAACAGCCAGTGTGAAAATGAGAGTTTTGTTACTCCCTCATTCCTCTGACTGTTTCTTTGTTGAGGAATACAGGCAGAGGCTGTGTGCATACCTGTGTCAGAAGCGAGGAATGAGACCACAAACTTCTGCAAGGTGTGGGTGTATCTCCAAAATCATCACAGAAGGTGATGCAAAGCTCAAATGTCAAAACACATACGCATGAAGAAACACACATTAAACTGGTCCAAGCTGTTCTGAAAAGCTCACAGTAGTAGTTAGTTAGTAGTTTACTGATACTGTGCAACTACATACAAGCACTAAGAACGGGATATAAAGAAAAGCTGAATTGGTTTATTAAAAGATAGACTATTTTGTTCATTAAATATTGGTTTCAATCAAACATTTGCTGGTTTCACCTCTTCCACCTTTTATATG